CTAATTTCTAAATGAATCAGTGAAAATAAAATCCAATGAAAATACTTTTTTTTTTTTGACTCCCGTGTGCGAAGCACAAAAAGGGAGTCTTTGCAGTTAGTGTGTCTGTGTGTGTGTGTGTGTGTGTGTGTGTGTGTGTGTCCGTGTGTGTGTCCATCTGTTCCACTGATATCTCAAGAACCATACATCAGTTTTTGATGAAACTTGGTGCATAGATGCTCTGGGCCAATGCGCAGATTTGATCAGGTTTTGGTAAAAATGCATGCATATTAATTACCTAATTTGCATGATAATTACCTGATTTTTAGCTGTTCCATGACTGTTCCACTGATATCTAAAGAACCACTCATTGGATTTTGATGAAACTTGGCACACAGATGCTCCAAGCTAATGCGCAGATTTGATTAGTTTTGGGTGAAAATCTGTGCAATATTTCTTACCTAATTTGCATAATGATTAATCAATTTTCGGCTTTTCCACTGATATCTCAAGTAGTAATCATCACATTTCAATGACACTTGGTACATAGATGTCATAGGACACTGCACAGACCTGATAGTTTTTAGGTAATATGAGTACATATTAATTACCTAATTTGCATAATTAATTAATTTTCAGCTTTTGATATATCAAGTAGTAATCATCATATTTCAATGAGACTTGTTACATAGATCTTCTAGGATTACCTAATTTGCATAATGTTTCACTGATATATAAAGAACCACAAATTGGATTTTAATGAAACTTTTAAAGAGAACTATGCAGAAACTCCAATTAGTTTTTGGTAAATATTTATGCTTATTAATCGCCTAATTAACATAATTAATTAACACTGATATCTCAATTACTGATCATCACATTTGAATAAAATTTGGTACATAAATGCTCTAGGACAATAGACCGGCCTGATTAATTTTGATTAATATTAATTCTCTAATTAGCATAATAATTCATATTTTTTTTGTTCTGTTCTGTTCATATTAGTTACCTGATTTACATAATTAGTTTTCAGCTTTTCCATCAATATCTCATGTACAAGTAATTTTGAATTAATTTTTAATGTGTCTTCAATACTCTCAGCACACAGAATTCTTTCTAAGCTTTCTTTGATTTCTATATTCTACTTATCGAAAATCAGTGAAAATAAAATTTAATGTAAATCACGACAATAATTTTGTATTCAAACACTCATGAGTAAATAATGTTAAGTGTACTTATTGTATAATTTGTAATGAATTAGTATACCATACAAGGCTTGAAATTGAAAACATTTTTCAAAAGTCTGTTGGACTACCAGTTTTCATATTAGGTAATATTAGGTTTTCCACTTGGTTTAGTAAATACCTAAGCCATAGCCATGCTCAATTTGTGTAGGATACGCTTACCTTTGAAAACAAATTGGTTTATGTGGAAGACAACATATATTTTGAGCTACTGCATTCAGAATTAATAGTTACTTAGGGATGACGTCAAAAGATCGATGTTGGATAAAAAACTTAATTCCTTTAGTTTTTTTCCAAACCCCCCCCCCCCTACCCCCCACTGAAACTTAATTGATAAATATTGGTCATGGCGTCAGACTACATTCACCATTAAATACAAATTGATAATCGGACAGTAGTATTGCATAGCAGTTGGTTGTCGGGTGGGTGTAAAAAGATTTTACAAATGCACCTCATTTGACGCACAGATTTACACTCAAACCAAACCATTTTTCTGTTTTTTTCCCTTTTCGGTTATTTCTGTCCATGATTGGATAGAAAAAAAA